AGAACACCATGGTTGTAGAGGCCTGCGGAGGACAGAGAGCAGCTCTTGGACTTGTTAGGAAGGAAATATAATTTGAGGAAACTATTTAGCTTTAAATAGAAAACAAAAGTATAAAAAATTTGATGAATATCAAATGGGGGAACTCAAAGATGTCCAGAAAAAAAAGAGAAATGTCTGGACAACAGCTCATATCAACAGTTGTGAGACAAGACGAATTCCAATATATTAGGGACATCTGGAGAAGCAGTTAGAGAATCACAAACAAAAAAGGCAGTGAAATGGGAAACAAGTGTAGTGAAGAATGAAACCCTAATACAGATGCTGACAAGAGACGCCAACAGACTAGATTTAATTCATGATACTGAAATAATTTATTAGATAGAGTGGAATGGAATATAAATTGTACTTCAATCAGTAATCATTGGGGAGATCTATGTGGATCGTGGCTAAAGCTAAGGTTTTCGTGCTTTGGGCAATGCTTTCTGTGAGCACCATGACACTATGTAAAGATATTGGGTAACCATATTCAATGAAGTTGAACCTTTAGACTTTAATTTCAGCTTGTCTTCTGGTTATGTTCCAGTAAATCTCCCCAAACAAAGTAGGTCACTTTTTATTCACAAGTTTGTTGGGCTGGTCGACATTCCTGAAGGTTACGGGTGTGTCCCGCTCTGGTGTTTGCTTTCTGCGTTGTCTTGTATTTACGTTTTAAGAGAATGCCTGTTACATAAGTTGCAGCACTCTCTAGGGGGTTGTGTTATGACCAGTTTCTCCATGTTTTTGGAGTGTTAAAAGCACTTGCGTGCTGAAATATACAACACACGATATCAAAGGCATTGCGGAACACCCCCGTAACCTTGTGCCAAGGTGACAGGTTCAGGAACTACCAATCAGAAGTGAGCTGGTGTGTAGATGGGCGGGGCGTGGGGAGACTACCGTTACTTTAACCTGACTTTTTATTGCCCGTGGTTTACTTTACATAATGTCATAGATTTTACTAACTTTCTACAAAACAATTCTAAGAATACCATGGACCAAGAAGAAGGTTTTGAACAACGTATCAACATCATGGCACACAGGTAGTAACCAATAAGTGCTCTGTTCTTCTTCTAACTCAAGTCTGAGTTCAAAGATGCTAAGGAAAACAGATATGCTTTGTGCAGAGTGGCAAGCATCAGAGGTCCCGGGTAGTTAGCATTCTTCATATATTTTCTCCAGGTCATGTTCGGTTGTTCGGAAATGAGCAGGCAGATAGACTAGCTGGCTCTTCACCATTTGATGATGAACTGATCTATGACAAGTTAGATATTGTGAGGGCCCTTTGGGAGCGAGTAAACAGTGCGTAGGCGCAGACAGATCATTACGGTCTAAGTTACCTGGGGATTTGGCCGATGCTCAACACTCAGGGGAAGGATGAGACGGATATAGAATCAGAAGGGAACTAGTACCATCTGAACTGGAACTCTTCGCTTGCTGCTAAAGATGGGGACTGGGCACTTATGGAGTGTCCCGAGTGCTGTGATGTCGATTCCTTTTTCAACATTCAAATCATGTTAAACATCACGGTGGCCTGGAGACAATGGTAATGGAAGGTACAGTTTCCAAAGAAAGGAGACTAAGGCAGAGCTCCGAGAAGGTAGATACAATACATTGAAAATGCATTGAGTATGAAAGCACACAGGCTGACTAATAGGTTAGGTTAGTTGCCTATCCTTTACAGGACGTTGCAGAACCAACCCCAATAGCCCCTGGCAAATTTACTTCCAGTAGTTTGTCATTGCTTTTTGGACGGTCGGCTTTCTTGATATCACTGTCGAAATCAGCGCATGGCCCTCAGCTGGGATCGAGCCTGGCATCCCGGCATTACGAAGCGTTCGCATCGACTTAGCCACAGAGCTATAGGTTAGAGAAAGAGATCATTTCCAGCGTGACGTAGCGAGAGCGACGTTCGATAAAGGAGTTGCTGGTTGATGATGATAATACATTCTATTTAACATTTTAACTTTCTTTTTTCCACCACAGTTGATATTTTTTCGGTTTTCGTTTTCATTTTCCAGCTTGCAGGAAGCTAATTTGGTCATGACGGTTCTCGTTCTAAACAAATGGTTTCAGCTTTTTAACCCGCTGCCCCCCCCCCCCCCCACAACCCCCACAACCCCCTCCACCCCCACGAATATATGGCGAGACCTTCACGCCCCAATCCCTAACTGAAAAAAAAAATGTGATTAAACAGAGGAGATAGTTGTACAAACAACTCATTAAAATAAAAACGTTCTTTTTTGTTTGTGGTTTGTTTTTGTAAAAAGTGTTAAAAGAATTATATTTATCTTATTCTTCTTTGTGATCACCAGCTGTAAAACCTGGTAAACATTTCTTGTTGTTCGTCCACTTCTGGACTGCAGTCCTGAACCTGAGTTGCGTGTACATCTGTTTGACAGATCTGACACATTTGTGTGCAGTCTGTGTTGGTTCCTTGCCTCTCAGGCAGATGCACTCCGACTTTAAAAAAAGCTCCCTGCTGTTACTACTGTAGAAAAGTCGCCTCTTACGACATGCTTTTGCTTAGGCAGTGGGTCTGTTCTTGTTTTCCCTATAATAGGGCCCCGGAACCATCACGAGTTATTATTAGGGCTGTACCGAATTGAGATTTTCACTATTCGGCCGAATACGAATAGTGGGACCAAATCATTATAATCAGGTGCCTTGCCGACTGGCGTGGGAGATCATGCCTCTCCACAATCTGCTATCTCCTGCAGCATGTATCAGTTCGTGTGCTGACAAACCTCCATGCCATGAAACAAGACTGTCAAGAATCTCCTCTCGTTGTCTTCCTCTATCCCTCCTTCCACAGATCTTTCCAGTGGTCACCAAATGTTCCATTTTCCCTCTTCTCATAACATGTCTGAAAAATGACGACTGCCTCCTTCTGATGTCTGTGATTAGTTGTCTTCGGGCTCCCGCCTCTTTTAAAACCATCATTCGCTAGGCCGTTTGTTAGATGTAATTTAAACGCACCTTATATTTTCGTTAGCAATATCTTCAAATTTGATTTGGGCAAAGACACCCTGAAAGAACGAAAAATGCATGATCTCTCTCTCTCTCTCTCTCTCTCTCTCTCTCTCTCTCTCTCTCTCTCTCTCTCTCTCTCTCTCTCTCTCTCTCTCTCTCTCTCTCTCTCTCTCTCTCTCACACACACACACAGACACACACACACACAGACACACACTCACACACACCCACGCGCACACACATACACATATACACACACACTGCGGCTGGCATTTTATGCAGTTTGTACCACGCAACCAGGTCGCAGTTTCCCCCGCTACGACAGACTTAGGCAACATTAGCTATTGTGTTAATGAGAGAGTTATTTCAGTCCACCACAGTGTATGCAGAAACGAGAGTAAGGTAACCACTATTCGTATTCGGCCCGACCGCAACTATTCGGCCGAATACTGAATAGTTATTAGGTCCACTATTCGGCCCCGAAGCGAATACGAAGCGAATATTCGGTACAGCCCTAGTTATTATATTTATAATTTCAACAAATGTTGATACAACACATTATTACAAGTATGAATGCACTCAATTATAAAATTGCTTGATGTCCCCTTTGAAATATACCCCCTCTTTTTGTTTCCAGGTTTTAAACCACAGTCTTAAACTCTATACGGCTCGTTGAGTAGCAGTAGTAGTAGCAGTAACAGTAGTAGTAGCAGTAGCAGTAGTAGTAGCAGCAGGAGTAGTAACAGTAGTTGCAGCAGCAGTAGTAGTAACAGTAGTAGCAACAGTAACAGTAGTAGCAGCAGTAGTAGTAGTAGCAGCAGTAGTAGTAGCAGCAGCAGTCGTAATAGCAGCAGTAGTAGTAGTAGCAGCAATAGTAGCCGTAGTAGTAGCAGTAGCATCAGTAGTAGCAGTAGTAGTAGCAGTAATAGCAGCAGTAGTAGTAGTAGCAGCAGCAGTACAAGCAGCAGTAGTAGTAGCAATATTAGTAGCAGTAGCAGCAGCAGTAGCAGCAGCAATATTAGTAGCAGCAGCAGCAGTAGTAGCAGATGCAGTCTTAGTAGTAGTAGTAGTAGCAGTAGTAGCAGTAGTAGCAGCAGCAGTAGTAAAAGTAGTAGTAGTAGTAGTAGTAGTAGTAGTAGTAGTAGTAGTAGTAGTAGTAGTAGTAGTAGTAGTAGTAGTAGTAGTAGTAGCAGCAGTAGCAGAAGTAGCAGACGCAGAAGTAGCAGAAGTAGTAGTAGTAGTAGTAGTAGTAGTAGTAGTAGTAGTAGTAGTAGTAGTAGTAGTAGTAGTAGTAGTAGTAGTAGTAGTAGTAGCAATAGCAGTAGCAGTAGTAATAGCAGCAGCAGTAGTAATAGCAGTAGCATCAACAGCAGCAGCAATAGTAGTATTAGTTCTGGCAGTAGCAGCACCAACAGTAATAGTAGCAGAAGCAGCAGTAATAACAGTAGTAGTAACAGCAGCAGTAGTTACAGCACCAGCAGTAGTAGCAGCAGCAATAGTAGTAGTCGCAGTAGGTGGTAGTCTGGCGAGGAGGTCCAAAGAAAACATGAGGGGTGTCAGACCCCGCCCACAATAATTGTCTGAAAGGGGTGTTGCTCAAGCCTTATTAAAAATTAAACAACGATTATTTTTATTGTGCTTTTAAAGAAGACTTGAACGCTAGAGCATTTGCAGTAGTAGTAGTATAGCAGCAGCAGCGGCGATTTTCACTTAACTAATAGCCCGTTCAACCTTCATGGTTTAGATTCGAGTATATTTATAGTATCCATTAGGCAGCCCTATATTTAGTAATGAGAGAAGAAAATATCGAGGGCGAAGTCTTGCCTTGTCACCGGTCACACAATGAAATCTGCTTCCTTGGGAAAAGAAAATGGATTGTATTGACTGAGGCAGGAAGACAGGCCACAGACGAAAGTTGAAGCAGAACTCACTGTTTCTTCTTCACATTCGTTCTAACATCTTCCCCTCAGACGATTTATCGGTTTCTGGAAATGGATGTTTGTCAAGACAGTTCAATTATTGTCATACATTCGGACGGTGAGTGTTTTTTTTTTCTTCATCGCCTGACGAGAAGAGAAATCGTTCAGTATTCAGATCAATCAATCAAGGCAACACTAAAGTAAAGGGCTTTTGTTAGGTCGTTCAAACTTCAGAGAAAATGTAATTATAACTCTTCATGAATTTAAAATGTGATGGTTTCATTTTAGGTGTGAAATAATGATCAGCGAGCAATCTTTTCCCTAATGGAGTTAAATTATCATGTAATCATGGATGTGTTTTCATTGATAGTCTATAAATAGTTAGTGTGGTGGTACCAACATAACCTTAAGTTAGAATATTTTGAAATAAAGACTAGACTCAAGCATCATGCTGTTTGTGGGTATTCTAGTTTAAAACTATAATTTATGGTTACCTTTACTCCTTTTAACGAGCACAAAGCTGGAAAACTCGATATGATATCACACATTTTGTTTCTCACTATTCTCTTTATAGGTAAAATGAAACTCATGTTAGTGTTATAATTAAATTTTAATCATTAATGTATTATATCATACAATGTATGCAGTGTTAAATAACCAAAAAAGGTTGAAAGGCATAGAAATTACTCTAAATAGTCTAAATGTTCAAAGTATAACCCAGATGGGCTGAACATGATAATGTTTTAAATTACTAATATTACTATTACTCACTAGCTATGTTAACTCTTTTAGTCCCAGACAGACACAAAGATGACTGCATTTACCTGTGTGCACCAGTTAACATATTATTATGCTTGTACATTTTCTTTTTAGACAGGAAATGGTAGCTTAAAAACCCAACAACACACATGATTCCTACCAAGGTCGTGTGTTTAACTCCTGGAATGTTGTACCGCATTATCTTGCTGCTGTCATTATAGCCTGGTTTTGGGGTCAAATGTGGCCTTCTGGAACAGCTTATGAAAATAAAATGGGATAAATTCAAAAGGAGAGAAGAAATAAGAGCAATGTCTGGGCAACCATTAGTATCTACAGTTATAAGACAGAGAAGATGACGCTGCATTGGACATATTCTGAGAGGCAACCAGCAGAGAATCATCAAACAAGCATTAAAATGGGAAATAAAGGGATTAACTCTTTGAGTCCCAGGTGGTTTAGCATCACAGGCCCAAGGGGTAGTCAAGAGAGAAGTAAAAGCAGCGCATCATGCGTTCATTGGGTCTCTAGGTAGGAATCTATGAACGTATGATGCGTTCCTAGGGACTCAAAGAGTTAAGGAGGCGAGGGCACCAAAAAGAAACCCTAAGATAGACGCTGATGAAAGAGGCCAAAGCTTTTGGACTGGATCCATCCATGATATTACATTGATTGCACAAGATAGAACAGAATGGAGAAATAGACTGTGAGCCCTATGTGGCACAACCCCTGGCCCACTACACATACAGCTGAATGGTTCTGGTCTGAATCAGGTTAGGGAGTTTAAATATCTAGGAAGTAAGATCACGGAAGGTGGAAGAATTGGCAGAGAAATAGAAACCAGATGTCAGAAACCAAGTGATCTTATGTACCAATTGTCACCATTTTAAAGACATCTAAGCATAACTATGAGTGCAAAGAGATTATAAACAACATATTCATTCCAACATTAAGCTACCAGTGCCAAACATGGACACTATCTAAAGCCCATGTATGTAAAATCACCACCTGCGAGATGAGGTGCCTGAGAAAAGCAGCCAACCTAACCATCTGAGATTGAGTGAATAATGATACTGTTAGACAAATTTTGTAAACGACACTTTGTACTTGTTTCATCGAGAAACAGCAGATCAAGTGGTTCGGCCATCTCATTAGAATGCAGCAAGATCAGATGCCATTACAAGCACAACATCTCAGAAGATCAGCTACAAGAGCAAGAGGATGGCAGCGGAAAATATGGATTGACAACATTAAAGACACTCTATGCCCTCACGGCATGACAATAGACAGTGGCACCCAGCGTGTAATGGATCGAAAATTATTCCTTTCCCCGACACTTAAATGTCAGAAGTGGTTTATCTTCTTCTTCTTCTTCTGCGTTCGTTATCAGTCATGTTAAACATTGAGTCCCGTCTGGGTCACAAATAGGATTGTGCGTTTAAGGTCGCCTCCGGTCCCCCATAGCTTCTCTTGCAATGTGGCTCCTTTGGGCCAGATCCACAGTCTCTGCTGGGAGAGGTTAGGGCAGTACTGTAGTATGTGCTCTGGGGTTTGTCTTTCTGCTCCACAATCACAGGCAGCAGATACTTTTATGCCTATCCTGTACAAGTGTGCTCGAAGACCACAGTGTCCAGCCTGAAGTCTAAAAATTGATGTTTGTTCTTTTCTGTTGAGTTTGTTTATGCTGTCACTCTCTGGTCTGTAATCACCATTCTGCCTTCTCCACTCCCGCTTAAAAGACTGCTTTAGCGCTGTTTTGGTTTCCTTGTAGCTGTGTGGTGGATGAGGTTGTGGAAGATTACTCCCAGCTTTTGCCAACTCATCTGCTCTCTCATTTCCTTGAATACCACAGTGGGCTGGTATCCACTGCAAGACCAGTTCTGCTTCCTTGGAGAGTAAGCCAATGTTGGTCCTTAGATCAGCAGTTCGTTTGTCTTGTTTTTTGCTGGATAGTGCTTGGAGAACAGACAATGAGTCACTAAGTATAACAATTTGGTGCCCTCTGGGTTCTTGAGTGATGAGATGTTGGACTGCAGAAAGGAGGGCAGTTGCCTCAGCTCTGAAGTTAGTGCAGATGTCACCTGCTGGTAGAGAGAGAGTTTCTGCTCTACTGCAAGGGGGTTTAATGTAAATTCCACAACTCCCCTTTCTGACTGCATCTGTTGCAGAGCCGTCGGTGAAAACCTGAGTCCAAGTGGTGTTTGGATACTTCTCATCAAGAGAAGTGGTTTATGATGATGATTGGCACAACAGGATAATGAATGAATGAAAGAACTCCTGTTAATGAGCACAAAGATAGAAAACTAGTTATGGTCGCTTCTTGATGTAGTTGAGCATTAGTTGTACCCCCACACACTGTTTTCTTCCATGCAGATTTTATCATTCTTCTGTAAAACCAAATCTTTGCAGCTTCTAAATAATTGTTCATCAGTCAGCTGGCCATTTTGTAGTAAACGGTTTTTAACTGAAATATTTAACTGTGATAGAGTTGAGTAGCTTAAAGCAGAATATGTTACACAAGAAATTTTTAGTTTGGAAGTTGCATCGAAGATATTGAGAGTTGACATGGCGTAGCGGCTAGATGCTCGTGTTCCGATTGGAAGGTTGTGGGTTTGCTGCCTGGCGGAGCAGTGCAGTCCCGGGAAGTAAAAGTGGCCGGCGTGATGCTGACCACATCACCCATCTTGTGCTGATTGGTCTATACAAATATAGGTCTGGCCCTATATGCCCTTTACACCTAAAGGCATGGAAAAGGGACCTTTACTTTATTTTTTTAAATCAAAGATCATCATCATCAGGTGCCTTGCCGACTGGCGTGGGCGATCATGCCTCTCCATAATCTGCGATCTCCTGCAGCATGTATCAGTTTGTGTGCCGACACACCTCCATGCCATGCAACAAGACTGTCAAGCATCTTCTCTCGTTATCTTCCTCTATCCCTTTTTCCACAGATCTTTCCAGTGGTCACGACATGTTCTATTTTCCCTCTTCTCATAACATGGCCAAAAAATGATGACTGTCTCCTTCTGATGTCTGTGATAAGTTGTCTTCGGGCTCCCGCCTCTTTCAAAACCTCTTGGTTGCTCTTTTTGGCTGTCCAAGGTATTCGGACAAGGCTGTCCAAGGTATTCGGATAAGGCTGTCCAAGAAGTATTTTGATTCAATATCGAAGATATTGAATCAAAATACTTCTTGAGCATAAAACATTAAAATATATAACTACATGCGCTTTTTTGTGTGATTCCTAAAAGCATTGATGTTAGAATATTAAATTCCTTTGGTATTTCCATTTTATTTTGAGTTGAGAGCAGTTATTAGATTACAAATAAGTATTTGAGGTTTGAACAACAGATCACCATCATGGCACACGGGTAGTAACCCATAAGTGCTCCGTTCTTCTCCTAACTCAAGTCGTCCGAAGAAGCTCAGCACAGCGCACAGGCTTTGAAGCACCGGCAGGGATCATGAAATACTTTAGTTAAATTTTTAACTCAAAACTGCAAAAGGATTTTTGTACGTGCGCAACAATGCACACGAGGATCCAATCTCACTACCCAGAGACCAGGGGGAAATTACTAGAGGTCCCAAGTCCACGTAAAAAAATCCCAGCTCTTGCCAGAGATTGAACCCGGAGCCTCGAGCACTCAAGACGGACACCATGCCTCCAGACCACGCAGCCCCCCAAAAAGTAGTACAACAGTCAGTAAAAGTAAAGCAAGCAAGGTTCCTTTCCCACGCCTTTAGGCTAGACCTATATTTTTATAGACCAGTCGACACTTCTTGGGTAATGTGCTCATCCCGGCCGCCTTTACTTCCCAGGATTGCATCTGGTACCCACTCAAGGCCAACCTGGGAGACAAGGTCATTTTTGAAAAAAAAAAATCTGGCTCTGCCAGGACGCGAACCCATGATCTTCCAATCCACAGGTAGGTGTCTAGCCGCCAATGCCATGGCAACTCCCTGCTACAGTCCGTAGAAAATAGTTGATTTGAGTTATCCCTGTGTGGGTTCGGGGCCCCATTTTGGGAGGTCATCCCCCACTCATAAGGTGACTAAGGGATTTGTTGAAATCAGGTATGTTGGGCTGAAAGGTACAGATCTCCCAGTCTAGCTAGAAACCACAACACAATGTCTAAATGGCTTTTTAATTCTTTCAGTCCCAAGGAATGCATCATATGTTCACAGGTTCCTACCTAGAAGCCCACTGAACGCAAGATGGGCCAATTTTATGTCTCTTTATACCACCCTTGGATCTTTGATGCTAAATCTTCAGGGACTGAAACAGTTGAGGATGAACACAGAAGAAGAGGAATTGGATTGAGCATAGATGTGTTGTAGGGGGACAGCTGATGTTGTTGTCAGCTGGAATCCTCTGCATTGTTATAACTGGAACTCTGTGCTGGCTGCCTTATATGGGGATTTAATCATCCGGTATCACTGCGTGTCATTATGTCACCAGTTTCTGTTGACTGTCTGATCAGCTCTATCCACCTCTTTCGAGTAGAGTTGTTAAGGTCCACGTTTCACAGCCATATGTAAATGTACTAGTAGCTAGTAAATAAAGTAAAGGTCCATTTTCCACGCCTTTAGGCATATAGGGCTATACCTATATTTTATAAACCATCGGCACAAGATGGGTGATGTGGTCAGCATCACGCCGGCCACCTTTACTTCCCAGGACCACACCCGGTACCCACTCAAGGCTGGGTAGACCTAGGAGTCAGGGTCATTGTTTTTTCAAAGTCCGCTTCCGCCAGGGAGCAAACCCATGACCTTCCGATCCGCACTCAAGTGTCTAGCCGCTACGCCACGGCGACTTCCACTAATAGCTAGTGCTGTGAGCAATCAAACCTTAGTTTTGCATGAAATGTGGTTGGATCTCCATAATGGAATGGTATGCTTATGGGAATTATCCCGAGTGCTAGTTAAGTTAGTTTTCAACTCAGCTTAACTCAGTGTAACTCTTTTTAGCGACAAATGACAGATTGTAATAATGCACAGATGTTTGTATAATTTATCACATGATATCATTATCCAACCATATATTTACTGACCCACATCAGAAAAAGATGATCTACATTCTTTGGTCATGTGAGGAGAGGGAGAAAACTGAAGTACATTGTGACAGTAGGAAAGTTGGAAGAGAAAGGAGGCAGAGGAAGACAGAGGAAAAAGATGCTGGACAGTTTGACATCATGGTGGTATGGAGGATCATCTGTGTCAGAGTTGATTGAAAGAACACAAGACAGAAGGTTATGAATAGACATAACTACCAACGCCACATGGCATGGGCTTTGAGAAAAAAAGATTTTCACTGTTCAAAAAATGGATAACAATGCTGTTCCTCTTAGGTGCATGTAAAAAGTGGGGTGGCCATCTTTAAATTCTTTATGATGTCATCCTGTCCCTCTGCACCATGATGTCACATACTTAACACTCTTGACATCCTTACAACGATGTTGATAGGTTATAAGACAACAGCATGGTTATTGTAATTTCTGTCCCTCTGTTAAAGGTATCATTTGAATCCCCCTCGTATGTATCTGTGAAAATGATTCAAGTTTTTGTTTCGCCACAGATGAGGATGAAGATGATGACGTTGTGCTGGTTGAGGCTGAGAAGTCTGCGGTTGATGCTGAGAAAAGGGACGAAGATGACGTGATATTTGTGTCAGAAGAACCGTCAACTTCATTTCAAAAGTCTTCTCCACAGCATATTAAGGTTTTTGAGACTGTGTACATGGCTTCTTTGATCCGCCACCTTCTTCTTTATTTTCTTATTTCTGTTTTTTTCTACCTTCATTCCTTCATTCATTCATTCCCTATTTAATTTCTCCCTTATTCTCTTCCTTTTTTCCTTCCTTTCTTTCATTTATTCATTCCTTACTTCCTTTTCTCCTTCCTCTCTGTCATTTATTCGTTCCTTCCATTCCTTCATTCCTCACTTCATTTTTTCCTTCCCTTCTTTCATTTATTCATTCCTTCCATTCCTTCATTCCTCACTTCCTTCCTTTTTTTTCATTTATTCATTCCTTATATTCCTTTATTCCTCACTTCCTTATGTCCTTCCTTCTTTAAATTTCTTGTGTTTATACCTGTTTTTTATTTATTTATTTATTTTTTAATGGTTGTTTATTGGTTGGGGAGTCGCCATGGTGTAGCGGCTTGACGCTCGCCTGAAGAAGGTCATGGGTTTGGACTTTCTTCAAAAATGACCTGGCTCCTAGGTCGACCCAACTTTGAGTGGGTACCAGATACAAGGCCTGGGGAGTAAAGGTGGCCACATCACCAACTGAGTTCTGATTGTTCTAGCTCTATATGCCCAATACACCTGAAGGCATGGAAGAGTGACCAGCCATTTTTTGGTAAGAGCCTAGCTGTTTTATAGTGAGAGACCAGCCATTTTGTGGTGAGAGCCTAGCTGTTTTATGGTGAGAGACCAGCCATTTTGTGGTGAGAGCCTAGCTGTTTTATGGTGAGAGACCAGCCATTTTGTGGTGAGAGACCAGCCATTTTGTGGTAAGAGCCTAGCTGTTTTATAGTGAGAGACCAGCCATTTTGTGGTGAGAGACCAGCCATTTTGTGGTAAGAGCCTAGCTGTTTTATGGTGAGAGACCAGCCATTTTGTGGTGAGAGACCAGCCATTTTGTGGTGTGGTGAGAGACCAGCCATTTTGTGGTGTGGTGAGAGACCAGCCATTTTGTGGTGTGGTGAGAGACCAGTCATTTTGTGGTGAGAGACCAGCCATTTTGTGGTGAGAGACCAGCCATTTTGTGGTGAGAGACCAGTCATTTTGTGGTGAGAGACCAGCCATTTTGTGGTAAGAGCCTAGCTGTTTTATAGTGAGAGACCAGCCATTTTGTGGTGAGAGACCAGCCATTTTGTGGTAAGAGCCTAGCTGTTTTATGGTGAGAGACCAGCCATTTTGTGGTGAGAGACCAGCCATTTTGTGGTGAGAGACCAGCCATTTTGTGGTGAGAGACCAGCCATTTTGTGGTAAGAGACCAGCCATTTTGTGGTGAGAGCCTAGCTGTTTTATAGTGAGAGACCAGCCATTTTGTGGTGAGAGCCTAGCTGTTTTATGGTGAGAGACCAGCCATTTTGTGGTGAGAGCCTAGCTGTTTTATGGTGAGAGACCAGCCATTTTGTGGTGAGAGCCTAGCTGTTTTATGGTGAGAGACCAGCCATTTTGTGGTGAGAGCCTAGCTGTTTTATAGTGAGAGACCAGTCATTTTGTGGTGAGAGACCAGCCATTTTGTGGTAAGAGCCTAGCTGTTTTATGGTGAGAGACCAGCCATTTTGTGGTGAGAGACCAGCCATTTTGTGGTGAGAGACCAGCCATTTTGTGGTGAGAGACCAGCCATTTTGTGGTGAGAGACCAGCCATTTTGTGGTGAGAGCCTAGCTGTTTTATAGTGAGAGACCAGCCATTTTGTGGTGAGAGCCTAGCTGTTTTATGGTGAGAGACCAGCCATTTTGTGGTGAGAGCCTAGCTGTTTTATGGTGAGAGACCAGCCATTTTGTGGTGAGAGCCTAGCTGTTTTATGGTGAGAGACCAGCCATTTTGTGGTGAGAGCCTAGCTGTTTTATGGTGAGAGACCAGCCATTTTGTGGTGAGAGCCTAGCTGTTTTATGGTGAGAGACCAGCCATTTTGTGGTGAGAGCCTAGCTGTTTTATGGTGAGAGACCAGCCATTTTGTGGTCAGAGCCTAGCTGTTTTATGGTGAGAGACCAGCCATTTTGTGGTCAGAGCCTAGCTGTTTTATGGTGAGAGACCAGCCATTTTGTGGTAAGAGCCTAGCTGTTTTATGGTGAGAGACCAGCCATTTTGTGGTCAGAGACCAGCCATTTTGTGGTAAGAGCCTAGCTGTTTTATGGTGAGAGACCAGCCATTTTGTGGTCAGAGACCAGCCATTTTGTGGTAAGAGCCTAGCTGTTTTATGGTGAGAGACCAGCCATTTTGTGGTAAGAGCCTAGCTGTTTTATGGTGAGAGACCAGTCATTTTGTGGTCAGAGACCAGCCATTTTGTGGTAAGAGCCTAGCTGTTTTATGGTGAGAGACCAGCCATTTTGTGGTGAGAGACCAGCCATTTTGTGGTAAGAGCCTAGCTGATTTATGGTGAGAGACCAGTCATTTTGTGGTCAGAGACCAGCCATTTTGTGGTAAGAGCCTAGCTGTTTTATGATGAGAGACCAGCCATTTTGTGGTCAGAGACCAGCCATTTTGTGGTGTGGTGAGAGACCAGCCATTTTGTGGTGAGAGACCAGCCATTTTGTGGTAAGAGCCTAGCCGTTTTATGGTGAGAGACCAGCCATTTTGTGGTAAGAGCCTAGCTGTTTTATGGTGAGAGACCAGCCATTTTGTGGTCAGAGACCAGCCATTTTGTGGTGTGGTGAGAGACCAGCCATTTTGTGGTAAGAGGTTAGCTGTTTTATGGTGAGAGACCAGCCATTTTGTGGTGTGGTGAGAGACCAGCCATTTTGTGGTGAGAGACCAGTCATTTTGTGGTGAGAGACCAGCCATTTTGTGGTGAGAGACCAGCCATTTTGTGGTGAGAGACCAGTCAAAACGTGGTGAGAGACCAGCCATTTTATGGTGAGAGACCAGTCATTTTGTGGTGAGAGACCAGCCATTTTGTGGTGAGAGACCAGTCAAAACGTGGTGAGAGACCAGCCATTTTGTGGTGAGAGACCAGTCATTTTGTGGTGAGAGACCAGCCATTTTGTGGTGAGAGACCAGTCATTTTGTGGTGAGAGACCAGCCATTTTGTGGTAAGAGCCTAGCCATTTTGTGGTAAGAGCCTAGCCGTTTTATGGTGAGAGACCAGCCATTTTGTGGTGAGAGACCAGTCATTTTGTGGTGAGAGACCAGTCATTTTGTGGTGAGAGACCAGCCATTTTGTGGTGAGAGACCAGTCATTTTGTGGTGAGAGACCAGCCATTTTGTGGTGAGAGACCAGTCAAAACGTGGTGAGAGACCAGCCATTTTGTGGTGAGAGACCAGTCATTTTGTGGTGAGAGACCAGCCATTTTGTGGTGAGAGACCAGCCATTTTGTGGTGAGAGACCAGCCATTTTGTGGTGAGAGACCAGCCATTTTGTGGTGAGAGACCAGTCAAAACGTGGTGAGAGACCAGTCAAAACGTGGTGTGGGGGGAGACCAGCCATTTTGTGGTGAGAGACCAGTCATTTTGTGGTATGGTGAGAGACCAGCCATTTTGTGGTGAGAGACCAGTCATTTTGTGGTATGGTGAGAGACCAGTCATTTTGTGGTGAGAGACCAGCCATTTTGTGGTGTGGTGAGAGACCAGCCATTTTGTGGTGTGGCGAGAGACCAGTCATTTTGTGGTCTGGTGAGAGACCAGCCATTTTGTGGTGAGAAACCAGTCATTTTGTGGTGAGAGACCAGCCATTTTGTGGTGTGGCGAGAGACCAGTCATTTTGTGGTGAGAGACTAGTAATTTTATAGTGTAATGAGAGTCCAGTCATTTTGTGGTGTGGTGAGAAACCAGTCATTTTGTAGTGAGAGACTAACTGTTTTCTTATGAGAGACAGGCCATTTTCTGATGAAAGACCAGTCATTTTGTGGTGAGAGACTAACCATTATCTTATGAGAGACAGGCCATTTTCTGATGAGAGACCGGCTTTTTTCTGATGAGAGATCAGCCATTTTCTGATGAGAGACCGGCCATTTTGTGGTGTAATAAAGTTGACCTTCTTATCTTTAAAACATCCTTTAAACCAAGAAGGAAATCTGATGATCAGACTGAATATTTCTTCTGAGTTCATCCATAGATGTAGTTGCCTTGTGCTCGCCTGCAGTTTGACTACGTTTGCCACTGTCAGACTATACCTGTTTGACATCTTCAAGGCATTTGTTGACCATGTTAGCCTTCCTGATTGAAACTGTATGGTACAAATATGTTATTATTTTCACTTTTTAGAAGTTACTGCTTTTTTTAAATCAAGTTTTGTTTTTGTTTTTTTAACCTTCAGAATAGTGAAAAAGGATCACAAAGACCTTCAGATAGCTCTGATGATGAGGATGATGATGACGACAGTGATAGCTGCACAATGTCCCAACTAGGATACTTTGATGCTGAACTCTCCTCTGTCAGCTTGGTAGAGGATGTCCTCCGGCCTCTTGACCTCTCGCACGGTCTAGTTCAGACCCCAGAAGTATTGCAGTCAATGATCAATCATAAATTAACTATCCTCAAACCCCTACCAGCAACATGCAGTGCAACCTTCTCTGAACAGGGAGAAGGCAGTCTGGAGAAAGCTGTCGAGGGTCTGGAGATTAACCCTGTGAAAATTCAACAGGGCTTTGACCTCGGTGCCAGAAAAGAGGTAGACAGCTCAGCATTTGTAAGTACTCCTGTCAAGATTGAGAGATTTACTCCATTGAAGCTTCCTGAAGGTGCAGAACCTCTTGCCTCTCAAAGTTTGAACACTCCCGTGTGCAGGATTGACCCTGGAAAAGAATGCTTCAATCTCTGCCCACAAGAAGGCAAAGACATCGCTTTGTCAGGCGGTGACTTTCTCACTGACTCTCCTACCTCCAGTGAAACCGTCCTTGGTTGTAATGGTTTTCCAGAAAAGGAAAGGCAAGATCTGTCTAGAAACCTTTGTGGTAGTAATACTGCCTGGGACAGTTCTCAAAGGAAACTGAGCATTGACACATATGTAAGTGACACTAGTCTGGCAACAAATGTAAATATTAACAGTTCCTGTGGCAGTAGGGCCGCAGAAATATCTGGCCTGCTGGTACCGCTACCCAGTACAGCAGATATTCTTGACAAAACGGCTTCTTTATTAAATCAGGCTTTGGCCACCCCAGACCAAAATCCTGGCAAACCACGTTCTCCATTATTTCTACATGCAGTTGGCTCTCTCGACAAAGTTAACTCCAAACCTGGCACATCAAAAAACCTCAACACTTCTCAGATTGCTCATCTTTCTTCAAAAGCTCACATCCTTAAGAGCAGAAATCCACCAGCAAATAGCTCTCCGCTAACACTAGACATCAGTGGCCTAAACACCGAAGATTTAAGCAGTTTACTTGACTTTTTTTCTGATGAAGGTGACTTAGTGACTGCAGCCAAACCAGCAGGGCAGGACAAGCTTAACCAACCTGGCCAGGTCCTCAGCGCCATCAGGGGAGAGCCCAGCAGTTCTTCAGTGACAAATCCCAGAAATGTATCTAATCGTTCTACCAGCACCGGCGCAGCAAATGTTTGTAATTCCGAAGAACTATCTGGCCACATATTGTCGTTAAATATTTCTCAGGGCACCCTCACTGACTCTGACTCTTGTGTTTCGAGTAACTCGTCTACGAGTACGCACTTAACAAACAGTTCAGTTGTGGTATCTCCATCCCATACAAATTCAAAGTCTTCCATTCCTACTGTTTCATCTGATAGGAAACATTATTCAAAGACCACATTAGCAATCAAGCGCCGTTACGGGCATATGCATGGAAGTAGAAAATTATCTAGTCCACATTCCAGATCAACATTGCTCCACCCGCCTGCAAGGGCAGCCCACTGTTCATTTTTCCAGCGACCAAGCTGGCATAATAGCCCTTTAGGGAATACTCAAAAACAATTGATGAATAAGCCTGTACAAGTTAAAAGTGATTTTGTGACAAAATGTTCTGAAAGTGAATCTGAATCTGACGAAAGTTTGAGTGTAAAAGAAAAGACAAACTCAGCAGAACAGTTGATCGTGTCTCCAAAGTTGTTGCAGAAAACGTGTAAATCTAAAATTTTTAGTGGTGTTACTGAGCATCGAGATATTAAAAGAAGAAAGTTAGGAAATGAACTGCCAGAGGAGAAGCCAAGTTTAAAAATTCGACTGAAGTTATTACCACCAGAAGATGGAGCAGAAACAAATTGCGAACCTCGAGCCGAAATCCAACCAAGCAATGTTGGCCTCAAGAAGAGCATTATCAGGCGACACGCCAGCATGTCGAGTGAGTCAGATCTCCAGGGACAGCAAACACAGGGTATCATTCATCGCTCGCTGTCTGAGAGTGGGCCCCTGAAGCCGAAAGTCAGTGGCGGTACTGACCAGGTAGTTTGTGCTACCTGTCTGAAGCCTGTTGCCAGCGAGAAGTTTTCCAAGTGCAGTAAAGGTCATGCTTTATGTACGGTGTGTCTGGAAGTACAGGTCAAGGCTATTCTCACAGGTGATATCAAGGTCAGTATTTACTCCTTTTTCTATATTATCATCAAGTACCTTACCGATGGGTGTGGGTGTCAGAGACTTGCTTACTTCCGTCAAGGTAAATAGCTTGTTGGCAGCTCCATGACAGAAACGCCTTAAACATGAGTAAACCAACAAAGCATACACATCAGTCTTTAATATAAGTTACACCAAGCAATGGGCAGTCTACCTCCGAGGTGGCTCGCAACCCTACCCCAACTGGCTGGAGGGCTTTATAATAGCCACTCGCACACAGGCCGCCCAGTTATTCCAGGCATTACCCAGGTTTGAACCAGCAGCTTTTGATCCAAGGTCTTTCCTACGCTTCCTTCTGCACCTTACACTGGGACTTCTGTGCTACTGCACGGCTCTGGCTAGTGTGATAAAACAGACCCCTTTCCCGAACACGTGGAACACACAGCTAAATGCATGAATGAATACCAGTATCAATACACACAGTAAACTATCTCTAACACAAACACTTAAATTATCCTACCGTCAAGCTATCACAAAATCCCTGTCGCTAACAAATCAAATACGGAAACATCTGATAGTCAAAACGCCACAAGTCTCGTTTAAGTCTCTCAACCCAACTGCCCGACACCTGTTTTCTGCCACTTTTGTCCAGACCACAACTCCCTGCCCGGTCCGTGAGAACCTCCTGGACCTGGAAGTGATTAGTTCATGCATCCCGCTGGTCTGGTCGAAGTCTCTGTGGGCTGTTGAACATGCAGTCACTAAGCGGTCGACTAAGTACTAGCTCACTAATCACCATCATTGTACACTGTCATCTGAGAGCCACACAGGACCCTGACAGTGGGCGATCATGTCTCTCCACAATCTGCAATCTTCAACAGCGTGCATCAGTTCGTGTGCTGACACCCCACCTTCCCGTAACAACTGTCAAGAATCATCTCGCAGTCTTCCTCTGTCTCTTTTTCCACAGATCTTTCCAGTGGTCACAACATGTTCCAGTTTCCTTCTTCTGATAACATGACCCAAACAAAATATATCTTTCTGATGGTTGTGGTAAGTTGTCTTTGAGCCTTCACCTCTTTCAGCACATCTGGGTTGCTCTTTCTGGCTGTCTTCTTCAACATTCACCCTGAACTCTTTGAGTCCCATACAATGCATGATGCGTGAATCACCCTGTCTGCTAAAATCCTGTCCTTAGCTTAATATATTTTCTTACTGTGTGTTTGATCAGAATGTACTCAAGAAATCTGGCTTATCCAATGGTCATCATCATCATTAAGTGCCTTGCCAGCTGGTGTAGGCATTCATGCATCTCCACAGATCTCGGTCTTTGGTGTTCTGGATCAGTTCCACTGATGATATTCCTCCATGCCACTGTCTTACGCCATTCCACCATCATTTCTCTTGGTCTGACTCTTCTACCAGATTTTTTCCAGTTGTCATGATATTTCCCAGTGCTCCTTTTCTCATCACATAACCAAAGAACTTTGTCTCTTTCTCATTGTTTTTCTACTTTATGAGCCATTTTCAGGCAGTCATTGTTACTGTGATGTCTGCCCCTTTTGACTCAAAAGTACATCTAATTTCACCAAACTCCTAATTAGTCACCTATTACGACTTGATTTTAGAGGAGTAGGGGGTAGCAGATCTATCCCCCTTCCCCGACATCCACATCGCCATATTCACTTACTGGAATGCTTTTTTCTTCTTTCTTTAATTTCTTCGTCCCCTGACATCAATTCTGACTACCGGCAATTTAGCAGCAGACCGCCTTGCATTGATTTTGACAATGATATGGAGAGCCGACTGTTCACTAAACCATGGCAAACTACTGAACATAAAAATACCTAGTTAAAAAAAAAAATACAAAACAGCCAAAAAACTATGGGGTTCGATCTGAAATATTGTGTGAAGCAGGCATCCAAAACTGTGGTTCCTCGGGGGCCATATGGGTCACATTTGTGTCCTCATGAGGGCCACATACAACAATCTAGTTGAAGTAATTTCATAAAAATTTTTGCAGACTATTTTTTTTATTGCGATCCGCAGGTGTGCTGGTAAAGGGCTGTATGGCTGCTGTAAATGTTAAATGACTAACTTTGCTTTATTTTCACATGCTCTTTATTCTGTTTCTTCTTCTTCACTTTCATCAGCTGTAAACTCCAGGGGAAAGTTCTTGTTGGCAGTCCACTTCTGAACTGTAGTCCTGTTCCAGAGCCTCAGTGTTGTGTGCACATCTGTTTTACAGATCTGAATCATTTGTATGCAGACTGTTGGTTCCTTGCCTCTCAGGCAGATGCACTCCAACTTTGAAGGAAGCTCCCAGTTAATTGACACAACATGCTTTTTGACAGACAGCGGGTCTATTATTGCTTTCCCCATACTGGGGCCCCGGAACCCACACATGGATTTGTTCTGTTTCTTCTCCGTCAGTTGATGTGAATTCTGTTTACATGGATTTTACAAAGGTATTCAGTGAGTGGTGTGAGGAAACAGGCTCTGGCATCAACCCAGATAAGGCTGCAGAATTATGGTGTTCTTTGATAATAGAATTGTTAGAGATGTGTTGTCAGACATCACAATAAACGGCAGTAACATAAAGAGAGATCATTCATTAAAATATCTGGGAATCATTTTTGACAGGAACCTGTCTTTCAGATGCAATGTGGAAGAGGTAGTTCTGAAGATAGGGAAAGGACTTAATGCTCTGAAGGAGATGGCATCATGGAAAATGGAACAGAAAATGCTCTATACACTTTACCAGCAACTGATTATTTTAGTGATGGAGTATGGCTTGGGACTGCTAACGTTATCTCACACCCAGATACAGAAGTTTGATCCCATGCAAAATGAAGTCCTGCGAGTCATTTTGAGATGAATATGAAAGATACTAACTTTACAGGCAAAGATGTATCTTAAAGTCGCATTGGGAGGGATACACTTTCTGCATGCGGCCTTGGGGATAGCAAGGAACATCAGACAAGAGGTGGCCCTTGGATGTCAGAGACAGAAGTCACGATCAAAACAGTTTGTGCTGTTGACAAGACAGCGCGTGGTGAAGTATGGGCTACAGTGCTTCCCCAGCAAAAACAGACTTGTTTTTATAACAGCTTTTTTTTCTTTTATTTTTCTTTCATCTTTCTCTCTTTCTATCTTGATGGCATCCATTAGTCCCGGGGGATTATGGAGATGTGCCGCTGGCTTTGGGAACAGCATCTGCTTTGACTCTTTCTGTCTTATTTCTGGTTAATATGTAATGATAATTTTTCTTCTGGTAAAGTATGGCAGCTGTGTTTCTTTTATTAATGTGTAATGATCACGTTTTACCTTTGATGTTTTCATAACTTGTTTCCTTTCAGGAAAAGAATATAAAATGCCCAGCCAATGCATGCATTGAAATCCTCAGTTTTGGTAAGTTTTTATGGCTTTAGCTTGTTAAATAAATTTGTTAAATCATAGTCTTAGTCGAGGTTTCAGCACCACTGCAATCCGGTTTTCCCATACTTGCTCAGCTCCTGTGCCAGTGAAAATCAAATGAAATGACCCTCACTGTCCTATTTGAAAAACTGGTGAACAAACACTTGGTCACGGAACAATCCAGAAATTTGCACAGGCAGTTAATGCATATGGGAGTTGCTAGAAGTGCCAAAACCAATGGTCACCACCAGAAATTATTGATTGATTATTTCTTCACTTTGCCTTTTGATTGATTGATTATTTCTTCACTTTGCCTTTTGATTGATTGATTATTTCTTCACTTTGCCTTTTGATTGATTATTATTTCTTCACTTTGCTCTTCTGGTACTGAAAGATTTAAGAAGTTTTTGCCAATGCATTTTTCTGTTTACGGTTCCGGTTCCGGTTTGTTTGAAAAAAAAAACAAAAGTTCATGTCACCCTAACCAGCTCCAATGGTGAGCGGCGGTTATTTTGGGACTGCGTTTATTTGTTTGGAGTATCCAATAGTTTTTTCCAATTGTGACGAACTGCGTCTATAGTATTTCCTTGCGTGTATCTCGATGTTGGCCGTGATTGGGAGTGGAAGATTACTAGTCCTGAGAAGGACTAGTAAAGTTTGCCGGGATGGCCTCGAACGGGTGGGAGGGATTGGGTTGGGCGGTAGACCATGCCTGGCTGGTAGCGAGCTGTGGGGCGTTCTCTGGGCTGGATGGTGGGCTGGTTCAACTGTCATGGCGGCTGGACTGGAGGGCGTGGTGAAGTTTCTCGAGTTCATCTCTGGCCAGTTTGTCTTCGTATGAACCCGCGTATTTGGCTAGTTCTGCGTCTATTCTGTCTGACTCTTCTTTCGCGACTTGTTTCGCTTTTCTGTCTTCCTCCAGTGCTGCTTCGAGGTCTTCGTCTGCTAGTTCTGCTGTGTTTATTTTTGCTCTCTGTGCTTTTTTGCGGTTTAGGACTGATTGCCTTTTTCGTTCCGCTTCTTTCCTTGCGGTTTCTCTGGCATCTATCACTTCGTTGGTGGCTTGCAGTGCGGCGCTCAGTTTGGCGCATTCTTCGCTTGATTTCTTGAGCTTTTCTTTGGTGTCTGTCAGGTCTTTTTTGATGGTGGCTACCTCGGAAAGTATACTTTTCTGGTTGTCTTTCAGTTCTTTGGCGGCTACTGCGTCTGCTTCCTTTAACTTCTTGAGGTCGGTTAGATTTGCCATCAATTCTGTTTTGAACTTCGCCATTTCTGTATTTTCCTCCTCGAGTCTCCTTTGGGTCTCGAGAGATGCCTGCAGGATGCTTCGCAGGTCTATCATCTCGTCCCTGTCTTGAGTCCTGAGTGCCATGATTCTTGCGTTTTCTTCTCGCAGGGATTTGATTTCGTCTCTCAGCTGCGTAATGACGTTGTTGTTCGCAGCTGTCGGACTGGGCGCCTGATATCTTTGTTTCGGCTCTGGTTTGTTGGTGGTATTTGCCATCGCTCTCTTGACTTCTTTCAGGTACGGGCAACCCATGTACCTGGCGCTGTGTGCACCGGAGCAGTTGGAACATCTTCTGCTTGCGTTCGGCCAGGGGGCATTCCCTGAATAGGTGAGGGCCGGAGCAGTAACGGCACGATGGGCTGCTGCGGCATGACGAGGCAGAGTGCCACGCCTTGTTGCAGCGAGAGCACTGCAAAACTTCTGTGGTGTAGGCTCCCGGTCGTTGCTGCTGCTGCCTGAGTGGGCGGGTGTTGCTCGGTTCCTGCGCCACGACTGGGGCGGCTTCTAGGTAGACGGGTGCCTCGATAGGGCCCACATCCAGGGCTGGCGGCGTCTGGGTGCGTGAGGCTGGTGTCTCCTCCGGGTCGTCGACCGGTTCTGGCATCGTCAGTTCTGGTGCGGCGACAGGTGCTTCCTCCTTTTTGGCTGAGGATGCTCTGGTGTCCCGGCGCTGGACCGGATTCTTCTTACCACGGGCCATGGTTTCGTGTGGCTGAGGCTGGTAAGTCGGGCGGCAATTGATTGCTCGGTCCCTGCAGAGTCTGGCAAGGCTTGTTAGAGTATCCTAAAAAGGACACCCAAGCGTGCTTTTCTCCGCAGTTCTCGAGACAATCGTTTAAAAAACTGGCTGGTATGACTGGCTCCTCAACAATGCTGTGCTCCCGGGCCGCTAATAACCCACCCGCAGACGAATAACAATAGCTTAGTCGAGCCAAAACTCAGCCGAATGTCAAGCGAGTTCTGACCAGTATCTAGCTATTGATAATCTGGCTGCGAATGGATAGTTAGCTAGCTAACGAGAGACACGTGGCTGATCGGGCGGTAAAGCGAGCGAGCGAGAGAGAGCTGTGTCCGACTGGGCTGTCTGCCACGTCTGTTTACGGGCCCAGTTTTTTTTTATATTCAAAGGATGTAAAAGTCTTTTCTTCTTCCTACTAATAAGGTTGTTGTCCTACATTCATCTTTGAAATAATCCTCAGATGAGCTGAAGCGAGCACTGCCCCCGTTCGTGGTGGACATTCTAGAAGAAAAGCTCGACAAAGAGTACCTGAGCTACATAACTAAATGGATGTTTACGGATGAGAAGTTAAAGTCCCGGTGAGTAAGCTAGTTTGCTGTTTCATTTATGATCATTTTTGGTGTATTCATTTTCAAGTCAAAAGAGGTGTCGACAAACAATAGCACTATACAGGTAGCCAAAGCAAAATAGTAAGTGAACACAGAAATGGGGTCATCAGTCGCCACACGCTGAGGGATATACTGAAGATGGTATCCGAGCACTTATGGGCTTATCTGATGTGCAGTGAGGATAATCAGTTTATCAACTAACTTTTCTTTTTCTCTAGACAAATGTTTGAGATTTGAACAATGGATCAACATCATGCCACATGGGTAGTAACACATAAGTGCTCTGTTCTTCTAACTCAAGTCTGAGTCCGAAGAAGCTCAGCTCAGTGCACAGGCTACATAGCACCAGCGAGTATCCTAAAATATTTTCTGTAGATTTTTAACTCCAAATTTTTCCCTGGCAGCGCCGATAGGCTACTCTTTTCGAATTCCAACTGCCAAGGGGTTTTTTCACGTGCGCAAGAATGCACATGGGCGTCCGATCTCACTACCCAGAGACCAGGGGAAATTACTAGAAGTCCATGTGAAAAAATCCCAGCCCTTACTGGGGATTGACCCGGAACCTCTAGCACTTGAGACAGACACCGTGCCTCGAGACTACACAGCCCCCTAAACAACTGGCTTATGGAGAGACATAAGAAACACAGCCAGTTAAGACCAGAGAGAAAGTGTCTCCTCTGCTTAGCACAAAGACTGGGCAATATTGTACGGAGACCACATGTTACCCATGCAACATGATACCTCTTAGCATGCCCTGTGCACTCCAAAGGAAAAGTAATGTCTGGATGTGGACTTAAAACCCACAACCTCCGGGCTTGCAGGCAAGCATCTGAAAATGATAATGATTGGAACAAAATTGTTGCAAGTTTTGTTGTCTGTGAGATTTTAAAAAATTATAAATTTTGTAATCATGTTAAATTGTGTTCATCTGGGTAAAGATTCGACGTCAGAGCATTCTGGATAAGTCCATATTAGCTCCCTCCTCAACAGCCCGTGAAGAGTCTCTATGTTGATAGTACCCATTGCTATCTGGTTTACTACCCACCTTGCCTTCCCCCAGAGTCTCGTGGCACTGACACTCCCTACCGCATCATTCTCTCCTGGTGCAGGTTTTTCTTTTTTTCTTCACGTTTGTCTGTAAACTCTGGTGGAAAGTTCTGGAGGTTGCAAACTTCAGACTTTATTCTTGTTCCAGAACCTGAGTGTTGCATGCACATCTGTTTTCACAGATCCGGCTTTTTTGAATGCAGACTCTTGGTTCATTGCCTCTTGTGCAGACATACTCCAACTTTGAAGGATGTGCCTAATTAGTCCATTCCTACATGAGCTTGTTTGGGAGGCAGTTTCTCTCGTTACCTCATCCCACAAATGAGAGAGATTGGAAACAAATATGGGAAGAAAATGCAGCCTAAGAGTGCTGTAGAAAAATTATGATTGTTCGCAGCACAAATGAGGGAAATTGGGAACAAATATGAGAAGAAAATGCTACGTAAGAACATAGTTCAAAAATTATGATTTTTTGCAATTAAAAATATTTATTTAAACTGAACAGGTCAGAGTTTGCGACCTCTGACACCAGAATGCCGCCATGTCCAGCATTGAGCATGAGGAAGTACGAAGAGATCTACACTCAGGAATCTCGCGACCCGACTGAAGATTTACCCACATTTTGGACACCGATGGAGCGTGGATCCGTGAGTATTCTCATGTCTTTACATCATTTGTGTACTTTGACATATAAGACGACAATAGATACATGATATTTTTTTAATGAAGAATAAATGCAGATTTGTAGCTTAGAGGTAATGAACGCTTTTCACAGTTTCATGAACCTTAAGTACTAGAGTTTGATTTACATGGTGGACCAATTTTTTTTTTGCTAAAATGTTACATAGAACCTGTTCTGCTGTACGGCAGCGAATCTTGGAATGTCAGTGAACAAATTTAAAAGCAACAGAGATGTGGTTTCTGAGACGAATGTTACAAATACCTTGGACGGCCAGAGTAACTAACAATGATTGCTTGAAAAAAAGCTATTGAAAGTAAATCTGTATATACAACAAAAAGAAAGAGACAAACACTGTTCTTTGGCCACTTAATGGGAAGAGAGACATTGGAGAACATCGTGACAACTGGAAAGATCAGTGGAAAAGGGGGTAGAGGCAGACCAAGAGAGATGATGCTGGATGGGCTGAAACGATGGCATGGAGGGATATCAAGAGAGCTGTTCCAGGCACCCAGGAGCATCTACCACGGTTGGCACGGCACATGATGATGATAATGAAACTGCTGTCATGATTTTTTAAACAGTAGTACAAAGAGGATTGGAAACAATAATTATACCAGGAAGGAAGGGTGGGGCAGACCAACAACAAGCTGGGCACGGGATATCAGTGAGACCTTGGATCGGAAAGTGCACAAAGCAGGAGAGCTGACGAGAGACAGGGGAAAGAGCGATATTTTGCAAAGGATCTGCTTCATCAGGGCTGTTTAGACGGCGGCCTGTGGACCAAATCTGGCCCGCGACGATCCCCATTATCCAACATTTGAACTTAGTTGACTGACCCTGTGCTACACGGTGATGAGTACAAGAGTCACACCGTGGAAGATATCAAGAAAAGACAAAACCCCTAGAAAAGTATAACAGCAAGCTCCACTCACAATATAATGAACAAAAACAAAACTTGAACATTGCGGCTATGAAGCTTTCATCAACACACACATAAATAACATAATACCTCACAAATACACAAAATACCTTAGCTTAGTATCTTGAAGCAGCCAAAATGATGTCTTGCCAGTAGACTGTCAAGACACGTGGGACATGATAATAAATATCGCTAAGGAATTCCAGGGACTGTAACTAGAGGGTTTTAGATAAAACAGTGTGGGCAGCTCAATATCCTTGGATTTTGGATGAAACTGTGTTGGCAGTTCAGTCCTCTAGGTGTTAAAGTGTCCAAAGTGAAAATAAACACTGTGGAAGAGATAAGGGTCTCACCATGCAATTTTGTCAGACACCATGGAATGATACTGTAGCAGATGTTCAGTGTGGAGACGGCACAGAGTTATTTTTAATGAAAAATCAATGTCAAAGCACTCAGTACATGCATATACTGGCCTAGTTTCTCCCAGCATAAATCAGGGCATGAAGGCTGTTGATTTTGTTCCTGCTGCTTAGTTACATGAAGGAGAACTAGGGCGTATATCACAGAATGTATGTCAGCATATAATGAAGCACTAAAATTGCACTTGAGGAAAGACAACTTCTTTGTTCCCCTCATAAGAGCAGTTGGCATGTTGTGTTGTTGCATACCGCTAGGCTGACACCTGTGCCTTTCCGCGCAGCCCGTTGGTCATTTATTGTCACCTCGAGAACATTGCCTGTTAACTCTTTGAGTCCCAAGGAACGCATCATACGTTCATAGATTCCTACCTAGAAGCCAAATAAACGCAAGATGCACTATTTTTACTTCTCTCTTGACTACCCCTTGGGCCTGTGATGCTAAACCCCTTAGGACTCAAAGAGTTAAGGGGCTCTGGGTCTTTTCTACTTCCCACCTCCTAGCAATAAAATAGGGCCCTTGAATCTCTGCGAGGACAAAAAAAAATTATTAATATAATGTTCCTTGTCAGTTATCATACTGGGTCACGTGTCACCATCCTACACGATCACCTGAACCATGTTGAATTAAGAATCGACATCAAAGCACTCAGGACACTCCCATAAGCGCTCCACCCCCATCTTCAACAGCAAGTGAAGAGATCCGATTCTGATGGCACCAGTAACTTTCTGATTGCATATCCGCTGAGCATTAGTCAGATTTCCCTGGTAACTCCTCGCAGCACCATTCTCCTCAGACAGTAATGATCTATCTGTGCTCCCGTACTGTTCACTCACTCCCAAGTGCCCTCACAACATCCAGCTTGTTATACATAGTTCACCACCAAGTAGTGCAGAACCGGCCAGTCTATCTGCCTACTCATTTCACAACACACTGGCATCACCTGAAGAAAATATTTACAGGAATACAACCTGTATCATAAATGAAGTCAGTGCTCTAGTCCTGCCTCACACATGTGGCCATGCCTGACAATAAATTGGGCTATCTTGAAGCCTCAGTGATGTAGTTTAACAGAAGAATGCTTCAAATACCTTGGACAGCCTAAAAGAGCCACCAAGAGGCGGGAGCCCAAAGACATCTTATCACAGACACAGAAGAGTGAAAATTGAACATGTTGTGGCCACTGGAAAGATCTGTGGAAGGAGGGATAGAGGGAGACAATGAAAGAAGATTCTTGGCAGTGCTGTTGCATGGCATTTAGGTGTGTCAGCACACGAACTAATACATGCTGCAGGAGATTGCAGATTGTGAAGAGGCATGATCGTCCACACCAGTGGGCAAGGCACCTGATGATGATGATCTATTAACTGTAATCTCATTTTAATGAGGAACACATCTCAGTCATTATCGGTCACAAGCCCGGATGAGCAAGGAGGAGCGTCAGACGTGGGGCCAGCCTCCCCCACCCCCCACCCTTAAAAAAAAAAGATTATTTCATTGCAGGAAAGGATACCATTCCAGTAAACAGGATAGAACAAAAAAAAAGGTTAAAGTCAAGAGGATCGACTTCATGGCACCAGATTTGATCCCATATGGCTCGGTCTCTCTTCGCAGAACAGCTTTCCGCCTGCCTTGGGCACCGCGCAGAGCACGACCTCCGGAGCTCTGGCGGCGATCCCTAGGGATCTCTATAAATATTGCACTCATCAACTAAAGGGAGCACATGATAGAACAGAATATAGGAATAGACTGTGAGCCCTATGTGACATTTAAAGGTACAACACCACAGTGATGATGATGAATGGAAGCCATTGTGTTTTTGTGTTGTTGTTTTTCCTGCAGCCTGTAATGGTATTTGAAGTGGTCCCAGACACAGAAGAGTACCGAGCTTTGGCTTTCCAGTTTCACGAAACGCTGACATTTGGTGATTTCGATATTGTCAGAATTATCCGTATCCAGAATCCAATTCTGTGGAAATATTTTGCTCTGTGAGTTAAATTTGTTTCATCGTTGTTTGTGTTCTTGTGTTGCAGAATTGTTCTCTCGCTATGTTACTAATATTGAACTGACCTTAGAGTTTCTTATTCTACTTTGTTCACCTTTAAATGGATGTTTGGCATGTTGTGGTGTGGTTTACAGCTTGGCTGTGATATCTGTTGGCCCAACACATATCAGCAACCCTCTAATTAGTGCCCCTTCATAACATACTCGGGGGGAGCAGTGGGTCTGTCCTCTGTCTCCCCAAAATGTGGCCCTGGAAGCAACATGTAGGGAACCTGTGTGTCCTTTCCAAGACGTTGCAGCACCAACCCCAGAATTTGTTTACAGGGTAAACAGGGTAAAACTAGAGAGTTGCAAGAGCCCTCTCAAGACCTTGAAGAAAACTCGAGATTTTTATAAAAACTGACGAAAATTCTTTACAAAGGTTGATGAATTTGGCTACGAACCCTGTGTTTGGTTGTTTATGATTTTACTAGGCAATTTTTCATTTAATAGTCTGTCTTTTGTTTTTACTGAAGAGTCGGCTGTCAATACCACTGTCAAAACCAACACAAGGCATTTACCTGCAGTAAATTCTGGTTGTTTGTCCACTCTTGGGCTTTGATCTTATTCCAGAGCCTGAGCTTTGCTTGCACATTTATTTTACACATCTGGCTTATTTGTATGAAGACTCTTGGTTCCTTTCCTATCAGGCAGACTTTGAATTAAACACCCTAATTAATCGCCTCTTAGGACATGCGTGTTGAAAAGATCCAAACTGGCAAACTCCGATTAGAATAGGTTGACAGCATCTAGAAGTCCTGTCTCAAGAAACTGTTTTGGCTGTACACACCAGGATATGCTGGGGTAACAGAAAATAAAAAGCTGACAGACTGATCGTGTCGGTAGATGTTGATGGAAGAAGAAGTATGGACAAGGCAGACATACTGAGTGGGCTGCTTTCTAGAGACTTTGAGATGAAGGATTCAGAGATCAGGACCACCTGCTTAAAATGGGTATGAAATGAGAACAAACATGCAGAAACAGATTGCTTGGCAAAAAAAGATGTGCCAGACAACTCCTACTGGGTAGAAAATGAGGACAAACATGCAGAAACAGATTGCTTGACAAAGAAAGAAGATATGCCAGTCAACTCCGACAGGGTCTGAAATGAGAACAAACATGCAGAAACAGATTGCTTGACAAAGAAAGAAGATATGTCAGTCAACTCCGACTGGGTTTGAAATGAGGACAAACATGCAGAAACAGGTTGCTTGACAAAGAAAGAAGATATGTCAGTCAACTGCGACTGGGTCTGAAATGAGAACAAACATGCAGAAACAGATTGCTTGACAAAGAAAGAAGATATGCCAGTCAACTCCGACTGGGTCTGAAATGAGAACAAACATGCAGAAACAGATTGCTTGACAAAGAAAGAAGATATGTCAGTCAACTCCGACTGGGTCTGAAATGAGAACAAACATGCAGAAACAGATTGCTTGACAAAGAAAGAAGATATGCCAGTCAACTCCGACTAGGTCTGAAATGAGAACAAACATGCAGAAACAGATTGCTTGACAAAGAAAGAAGATATGCCAGTCAACTCCGACTGGGTCTGAAATGAGGACAAACATGCAGAAACAGATTGCTTGACAAAGAAAGAAGATATGTCAGTCAACTGCGACTGGGTCTGAAATGAGGACAAACATGCAGAAACAGATTGCTTGACAAAGAAAGAAGATATGTCAGTCAACTGCGACTGGGTCTGAAATGAGAACAAACATGCAGAAACAGATTGCTTGACAAAGAAAGAAGATATGTCAGTCAACTCCGACTGGGTCTGAAATGAGAACAAACATGCAGAAACAGATTGCTTGACAAAGAAAGAAGATATGCCAGTCAATTCCGACTGGGTCTGAAATGAGGACAAACATGCAGAAACAGATTGCTTGACAAAGAAAGAAGATATGTCAGTCAACTGCGACTGGGTCTGAAATGAGGACAAACATGCAGAAACAGATTGCTTGACAAAGAAAGAAGATATGCCAGTCAACTCCGACAGGGTCTGAAATGAGGACAAACATGCAGAAACAGATTGCTTGACAAAGAAAGAAGATATGTCAGTCAACTTCGACTGTGTATGCTAAGCAACAAATACTGAGACTGATAATTTACAACATCCTACTTCCGCTTTCAGAATGGTGAATAGCAGCGGTGTTGTTTTTCAGTGGCTGTGATTCCTGTTTCCTTATCATGGACTGCTGTACTGTGCGCATTTCCAGCGCAGAATCTCTGCTTTTTGTGGGAGCAGCGTGTATTGTGGCTGTGCTATGTCGGGACGGAATAATGATTGATAAATTTGGCAGCTTTGACCATGCTGTCTTCGCAGTGTTTTGGTCGTGGCGACCTACTATCCGGGAAGGCAGAATCTTGTCAGCAGAAGACTGCAACTGTCTAGAGATCATACTCGATAAAAGCTGTCCCCAGAAACAGGTGTGCTAGCAATTTTTTTTTTTTTTTTTTTTTGAAGGGGATGAATCGACACATAGGGTTGACTCAGTGGCCATGGCGATTTACAACATCCTGCAAAGGATGTACAACTAACTTTATATGTCTTTGCCATCAGCCGGTCAGCTATAAATATATTTCTTTTTTTTTTTTTCAGGTCAGCATGTGTAAACCTAAAAGCATGTCGTAAGAGTCGACCAGTTGGGAGCTTCCTTCAAAGTCGGAGAGCATCTGCCTGAGAGGCAAGAAACAGCCAACTGCTCACAAATAAGCCAGAAAAACGGTTGTACACACACAACTCAGGCCCTGGCACAATGCCAAAGTCCAAACGGACGAACAACCAGGACTTTCCACCAGAGCTTACAGCCGGTGAACAAAGAAGAAGAAGTTATACATAGGGTGACTATATCATTCCTTTTTCGTTGGGACAGTATAGTTTTTTAGTTAACTCTTTGAGTCCCAGCGGGTTTAGTATCACAGGCTCAAGGGGTGGTCAAGAGAGACGTAAAATCAGCGCATCATGCGTTCATTGGGCTTCTATGTAGGAATCTATGAACGTATGATGCATTCCTTGAGACTCAAAGAGTTAAGCCCAGAACGTTGCATCGATACTTTAAAAAAATAAAAAAACAACCCTGTTGATGCGACGGTCTGGGCATACCTAACAAATCGTACTGTCCCAGCAAAAATGGGAGGCTAAGGTCACCCTACATATACATCAGTATCGTGTGGTTAATCGTGCCAGTCTCAATCTATTTAACAAGACTTCTTGTACATCCAATGTGCCTCTCATGCTTGGCTCTGCAGATCTTTACTCCCAAATCTCGCATCCTTACAGTGATGTGGGTATGCTGCTCCAGAATTCTCTGATAATTCTATCTCTCTGAAGGCATTAACAGTGTCGGTATGATCCATCAGCTGCTGGTCATCTGGAACCAAGGCAGAACCGTCCAAACTGTCAGATCTTTCATTGATTGGTAATCCTTTATGTTTAATGTTTTCGTATGATGTGTTCTTTTACCTTTTAGCAAACGCAGCGAGATGGTTCAAGAAAATGATGGCATGGATGTTACAGAGAAACAGTTGTACCATGGCACTCACCGATCCACACTTGAGGCGATAGCGAGGAAAGGGTTCGACTGGCGGCTTAGCGGCAAACATGGCACCGTTTATGGATGCGGTTAGTTGTCTTCCCTTTTACATTTCTATTACATTGATGTTTGTAAATTATTTTTTTTTAAACGGATCCTTTGTTGATTGTCGCCGAAGCTATGGAGCTGATGTTTTCTGTGAGGCTCTTGGCAGGCAGCAAGCTATTCTACGAACAGGTATCAAGCAATATGGGATAAAATTTAGTGCAATATAGCTGATCCCCTCAACTTTAACTATGCTTTTTTTTAAATATATATATATATATAATTGATTGACGACATTAAACGCTAGACTCCCAATGTGGTTTCCAATGTCCCATTTTGGGTTAAAAAAAAGTATAGACCTCTAAAAAAAAAAGCATGTCATATGGTGACTGGTTAGAGGTGTTTCCTTCAAAGTGGCAGTGCTTCTGCCTGAGAGGTGAGGTTCCAACAGTCTGCATACAAATAAGCCAGGTCTGTCAAATGGATGTGCACGCAAAACTCAATGTGAGTTTCCAATAAAGTCCACATTTTGGACAAACAACCAAAAAGAGTTTACAGACCGGGAATGCTAAGAGAAAAAGAAAAGCACTGTGGACAGCACATGGGTGGTCTTTGACAGAAATCAGAGGTGTTGATGTTGACTGTTTCAGTTGCTTACTGGTTATCAAAACTGTCATACCCAAGTGCAATCAGTGCTTCATTCACCTCAGACTTTTAAGGTACAGTGCAGACCAACAGAAAAACTCACATACAGGCAAAATAAGCAGCGGAAAACAGGGTCTAATGTCTAAATGCAGTAGTCCATTATCATCCATTGCACTTTTTTTTAAAAATATATATATATATAATTGATTGACGGATTAAACGCAAGACTCCCAATGTGGTTTCCAATGTCCATTTCGGGTAAAAAAATGTATAGACCTCTAAAAAAAAAAAAGCATGTCCATGGAACTGGTTTCTGTTTCTAGAGTTTTCTGCCTGAGAGGTGAGGTTCCAAATGCATACAAATAAGCCAGGTCTGTCAAATGGATGTGCACGCAAAACTCAAGCTGAGGATCAAGAATAAAGCACATGTGGACAAGCAACCAGAATGGGTGCTAGAGTTTACAGCCGGGAATGCTAGCAGAAGAAGAAGCACTGTCAAGAGGTGCTTAGTCTTTGCTAGCAGAAATCAGATGAGGTGTTGATGTTGACTGTTTCAGTTGCTTACTGGTTATCAAAAACTGTAACCATACCCACCTGAGGTCACTGCAATCACCACTTCTTCATTCACCTTCAGACATCACTTTTAATATACAGTGCAGACCTGATCAGGAAAACTCACGGAGGACCCAGGCAAATTAATGTCAATAATTCCGGCAGCGGAAAACAGGTTTTTTTCCGCTAATGTTCTTCTATGATGCAGTAGTCCATTATCATCCATTATTATGCTTTTTTTTAAATATATATATATATATATAATTGATTGACGACATTAAACGCTAGACTCCCAATGTGGTTTCCAATGTCCCATTTCGGGTAAAAAAAAGTATAGACCTCTAAAAAAAAAAAGCATGTCATATGGTGACTGGTTAGAGGTGTTTCCTTCAAAGTGGCAGTGCTTCTGCCTGAGAGGTGAGGTTCCAACAGTCTGCATACAAATAAGCCAGGTCTGTCAAATGGATGTGCACGCAAAACTCAAGCTGAGGATCAAGAATAAAGTCCACATGTGGACAAACAACCAGAACTTTCTGTCTAGAGTTTACAGCCGGGAATGCTAAGAAGAAGAAGAAGAAGCACTGTGGACAAGCACATGGGTGCTTAGTCTTTGCTAGCAGAAATCAGAGGTGTTGATGTTGACTGTTTCAGTTGCTTACTGGTTATCAAAAACTGTAACCATACCCACCTGAGGTCACTGCAATCACCACTTCTTCATTCACCTTCAGACATCACTTTTAATATACAGTGCAGACCTGATCAGGAAAACTCACGGAGGACCCAGGCAAATTAATGTCAATAATTCCGGCAGCGGAAAACAGGTTTTTTTCCGCTAATGTTCTTCTATGATGCAGTAGTCCATTATCATCGAGTGCTACGTTGGCTGGCTCAAGTCCTCCTTCATGATCATCATCATCAAGTGCCTTGCCGACTGTTGTGGACCATCATACCTCTCCACAATCTGCGATGCGCATCTGGATGTATCAGTTTGTGTGTCGAAACCCCTCGCACTTTTTTCCTCTTTCTTTCCACAAATCTTTCCAGTGGTTACAGCATGTTCCATTTTCCTTCTTCTCATAACATGAGGCAGTGCTAATGTGACTTAATCCATTCTAAAGTTATTGAGATGCTGTCGAGTAACGGCACGAGTTCTCCAGTCCGCTTCCTGGATTTCACCTCATATTCCGGGGCAACAAAAAAGTCCAATCTGACCTCATATCCTGAAAAATATGTACACTTGTATCCTAAGGGATAAAAATATGGTCATGGGTCATTAGTGAAACGACCTGTCATCACCGTGATCCTCACAAAAATCTTTGAGAACATTGTACTCAGAATAAATTTGTGTTGTTTTGAATTGTCCCTTGAAACAGGTTCATACTTCGCCAAGTCTGCTCGATACTCTCACGGCTACACGGACAGATCTGGCAATGGGATCAGCGTCAAGGCAGGGAGCGGGCCCGGCCGAATCATTCAGCCAAGTTTGAGCATGTCATCTTTGGGGATGGGATTCACCACCTCGTCGTCAAACTACCTGAGAAATCACTCACGCCCCCAGACATGTTTTATTTTATCCCAGTCTGCACTGGTGCCCCTGTTGCCTTTACCGCCGATGATCACATCTCAGAATCAACCTCCACAGCCGCCTCCTGCACACTACCACTTACCTGCTCCCCCACCAGCCCATGGACAGATGTCATCCCTCCAAGTACCGGCTCATAACCAAACTTTTAACCCCGTACCAAACAAGGGAACTACATCGGCTGGGCCGTCAAGTTCATGTGGCGCCACGTCATCTAATCTGACCTATGGGAAGGTCATATCTGTAGCATCCTCATCTTCTTCGTTGCCTGTCTTACCAGGACAATCAGCTTTGAGATCACCTTACATTCAGCCATTCACTGTTTACCACAGTTGTCTGAACTCAACGACCCCCAATGCAGTGCCATTATGCAACCCCATGGATTTCCAGTCTACCTCTCACGCATCATTTACATCCATGGACTCGCATTTCACGTCTGCCTCGATGTGCTCCAACCAGTCTTCTTCCTTCCAAACACAGCCCTCCATAGCTAGCAGCAGAAATGTCTATGCAAGTCCCAGTATGTCTGCAAATAGGCTGGGACTTCAGCCATCTTCAAATTTGTCCATTTTCTCTGTTGGGTCCTTACTGGCAGGTGGCAGCAGCAGCCACAACCAGAGCAAGCTCGGGGCAGCCAGCGGTACCAGTGCCAGATTAAAAGGTCCGGCTGAAAACAAACCAACTTCCTCGGGGTCCACAAAGCTACGAGCCCACGAGAGAGCCACTGCAGATCTGACCAAAACGTTCGCCCGTGACGCTAATTGTGAAACACATTTCATGTTTGTAGCCAGGGTTCTTGTAGGTCGTCACACTGGGGGCAAGGCAGGGCTGAAGCGCCCGCCTCCCTTAGATGAGAACAACCCGTTTGGCAAAAGCTACGACTCGTGTGTGGATGACATTTTCTGTCCACAGGTTTATGTGATATTTGACAGCAACCAGGCATACCCAGAATATATAATAGAGTACAACTGGCACAAAGGCTGACCTCTGCTGGAGAATTTATCGCCCCCTAATTGTTTGTAGCAGTAGAATGTAATTTCACCGACCTGTATTCAGTTGATGAATCTTCATTTGTGTATAGAGTAATGTTATTGGATGCACCTAAATTATGGGATGGATGGTATTTTAATATGGTTGTACAGTGTTTGATTTTATGTATTTTTCATAGTCTGGTCTTCACATTAAGAATATAAGCACTCTGTATTTGTGTCTCTGGGTCTAGCCCCCCCCCCCCCCCCCCCCCCCCCCCCCACCCCACCCCTTTTATTCTGATTTGTTTGTGTTCATTCTTTAGTAAATGTTTAGCACTAACAGTTTTTTTTTTTCTTGTTCTTAAAGTCAGTATTTAGAACCAGCAGTCTGTTATTCTGTCTTTTGGTTTTCCTCTTTTCTTTCTTCTTTTGCTCCTATTTCTATTCTCTTCTTAGTTGACCGGCTGTCAACTCTGGCGGAAAGTTCTGGTTGTTCGTCCACTTCTGGACTTTAAACTTGTTTTCAGAACTGGAGCTTTGCATGCACATCCATTTTACAGACCTGGCTTTTTTTTTGGTTTCATTTATTGCAGACTGTTGGTTCTCAGTCTCTGAGGCAGATGTACTCAGACCCCTGATTAGTCGTCTTAAACAACATGCTTGTTAGGGGGCACCATGTATCTATTGTATCTCCCCCCCCCCCCCTCCTCCCCCTTCAATGTGACATGTGGAACCCACATGGGGAAATCCCCATTCTCAGAAACAGTATTAAAAATAAGCGGACCACTACTAAATGTATTTTCTGTCTTCTTGTGCTGTTGTTTCCATTCTCAAAGACAAAATATTTAGAACAGGTAGAAATTTTTTAAAGTGGAATAAATTCCCAGTGACTAGGAATTATTGTAGTTTTACAGAATATTATATTATTTCCATTGTATATTTCATCGACTGTTTTTTTTTTTCTTCCCCACATAAATTTATTCTTCTTTTCTTTTGTATTCTTTCTTCTTGATATTTAATATTCCAATTACTTCAGCTATTTGAATAAATATATCTAGAAAGTTCTGATATTATTGAACTATATTTCTGCATATCTGATAATTCTATTACGAGGGAAAGTCAGTAAGTCACAAATGCTTGTTCAAAATAAAAAATGTAAAACTAAAGATGATAACAATTTGAAAACTGTTATTTGTACGCATACAGTCAGTCAGTAACATGTCCTTTGCAGAACCTTGCGTCCATAACCCCCCCCCCCCCCACCCCCGGAAAACTTCTAGATTTTTACGCCTGCACTGTCCCATTATTTTTAAACATAATTTCCTAATTTCCACCAACATTTGTGTACTTGTCCTGTCATTTTATCAGTCCTCCCAAACCTGCTGCATAGAACTACATTCTCTCTTTTCTAAACCACATTTTCACTTCACATTCAACTTCTGCCTCATTTGCAAAATGTCTCCCGCCAAGGTGGGTATTCAGTGGACCAAAAAGGTGTGAATCTCTAGGGACTAAGTCGGGCTGTAAGGTTGATGTTCCAGAAGCTCCCACCCTAGATGGTTTAATTTTCAATGAGCTAGCCGAGCCGTGTGTGGTCTGCAATTGTGATGAACCGGCAGTGCTCCGCCTGGATGTTGTCTTTGAAATGCATCATGAAGCATCAATAGAACTTTACAGTATGAATCAGCATTCACAATATAACGTTTTTTTTTTTTTTTTTACTGGTTAAAAGCACTCTTTGACAATCCCAAAACACTGTCAGCATAACCTTCTCTGCTGATGGCGTAACCTTACCTTGAATTATTTTACACAAGGAGAAAAAGGATGTTTCCATTGCATCAAAGCATGCTTTGAATCAGACTGGCAGGGAATGCACATATGATGTGTCCCTAGTAGTGATCCTGGTCAGCATGTCTTCTTCCTCTACGTATCGACAGAGATGCTGCAAGGACAGGCATAATCGGTTGTTTTTTTCTGTGTTTATCTGTCAGTTGTTTGAGAACCCACCTTGAGCACATTTTCTTAAATTTCAATCGATCATGCATTATGTTGTATCCTGAACCTTGTGAGCACCCTATTGCAGCTTCATCAACAATTTTAGAGCGTCCTTGAGACAAAAATTGTTGCCCAGCTATGCATCGCTTTACAGGATCAACATTTGTCAGCATAAATAGAAAGCATTTCATTATGAATGTCCTTTGCAGACTGACCTTTTGCCCCCAAAAATGCAAAACAGCACATTGTTCTTGGAGGGTACACTCTGTAAGTACAGTCGCCATTTTGTTTCTGTGTTGTGAATGCGCATGCAACACCTAGCACCACCTAACGAACAGAGACATAAAGTTTGATGTTGCTGTCACTCAGTGACACCTTTAGAAGCCACCAACTACATTTTCCTGCCATCCTATAACCATTTGTGACTTACTTATTGACTTCCCTCATACTTTTCATAGCATGTGATAAGCGTTTTGATTTATAATCTTTTTGGTAGAAGAGTTAGACAGTCCTGAATGCCATACTTTTAGTGAGGTTAACTCGAAGATGGGATGACAATTTTTTAACGCCATTGGTAGTAACCTTGTCTGGTGAATTTTATTGTTTTATCAAGTTTACTTTGTCTGTTCTGTGATTTTTAAAATTAAACTTACATGTACGTTTTCTTGTTCACACTTTCTTTACCAACAACCTATCATAAATTTAGTGGTAACTTTTATTGTACAGGAACAGAGGCCAAAAGACTTGGGTTCAGATCTGCATTGAGTTTATCACTAAAGCATGCTGGCTCTGTGCTTGATAACATCTTCAGTTGGCAGTGAGAAGAAAAATAAGGTAGTGGCAAGACAGACATACAATCAGACTGTTCCTGATATCATTAGAACTGGAACTCTGTGTTTGTGTTTGCTGCTGAAGATAGGGATAGAGTGGTTATGGGAATTTTCAGAGTGCTGTGATGTTGTTTATTAACTTTTTCTTCTTCTTCATGTTCACTGGCTGCAAACTCTGGCAGAAAATTATGGGTGTTCCTCCATGTCTGTACTTGTTCTAGAACCTGGGTTGTTGTATGCAGATCCGTTTTACAGATGAGACTCATTTGCATGCAGCTATTGGTTTCTTGTGTCTCAGGCAGGTGAACTCCAACTTCGAAGGAAGCTTCCAATTAGTCGACTCTTACGACATGCTTTTGGGTAGGCAGTAGGTCTATTCTTGTTTTCCCCATAGTCTATTTTTGTTTTTCCCGCAATAGGGCCCCGGAACCCACACAAGGACCCGGTGCAGTGAAGTCGATTGTCTCGACTTTCATTTTTTTGTCAACTTTGAGGTCAAAAGTAATGTTATAATGTCTGTGCCATCTGGCGTTCATAATCAGTTTTTGTCACCGATTTCTGCCTCGTGTTATGTCACTTACTGGTTTTTACTTCAGACTTTGCCCTTTAAAGGACGGTTGGTCTGCTGTGGTGTGTTTTACAGCTAGGTTGCGATATCTGCGTCTTTCGACCCAACACATCTGATTTCAACACACACTTAATTAGTTGCATTTTAAGATGTACTTGTTTATCTGGCATTTAGTCGACTTCTTCCCTTAATGGACCCCAAGAATCCACTCAGCAACATTTACTTCTGCTACAGATGTTCTTCCGGGATATCAGACTTCCAGCTTTTTCTCTTCTAGTCTCTCCTTGCCTCTCTTCCCCTTCAACTTTCCAACTGCTCTAACGTTGCCCATTATCATTCTTCTCACTATGTGCCAAAAGAATGTAGATTAACTGTTTCCAATGCAAGTCAATCTGTCCCTACATTTTTTCCTTCTTCTTTTCATTGTCCTGCTAGCGATTTTGAAAAGAGAAGGAAACATGCTCAGGGAACAGAGTTTTGAAAATCTGGTTTGTCACGGCCCAAGCTGCAGCATAGAAAGATTATTGCTTCAGCACATTTGGCAGTGCTCAGTGATCCACTTTCTAGATCTGACCTGCAGGCCGCAAGTTAAATAGTCCTGCTGTATAAAGTCTGTTGTGCGACTCCCATCTTCCACTGTTCCAACTAACTTCCAACTGTTTACAGCCCGGTTAGCTTAGTCGGTAGAGCATCAGACTTTTAATGTGAGGGTCAAGGTTTCAAGTCCCTTATCAGTCGGGATTTTGGGGACTGCATTATCGCAGTCGATAGGAGACTCGCTTTCAAATCCAGCTTCGATTCGCTGCAGCCCACAGCCAGTTTTCAAAACCAGGCGGTTCCCAGGGTTCACCCAGCCTCTGGGTAATGTGTACCAGAGCTAACACTCTGGGGTAAATAGAGGAACGTCGCTGTAGCTACAGAGTTGCGTGCGGACGGCGACACAGGCGGTCAGTTTCTTATCAGCTGTCCGTACTGGTGGCAGAGCACTTATGGTTTATAACAGTGAGCAGTGACGCTGGTTCACATCTCCCAACTTTACCTTTTTTCCACTATTCCATACAGCTGGGTATCCATTGGAATGCCAAAACCTACCAAACCTGGAATCTCTCTGTTGCGTGTAGAGAGCTTGTCTGCAGCACATGTTCTGTATTTTGCTGTGTCTGTCCACCTGGGCAGAGTTGTAAACCATCATCCTCATATGTAGGTTCCAAGCCCTGTTATAAGGGAAAACAAGAATAGACCCACTGCCTACCCAAAAGCATGTCGTAAGAGTCAACTAATTGGGAACTTCCTTCGAAGTCGGAGTGCATCTGCCTGAGAGGCAAGGAACCAGTAGTCTGTATACAAATGAGTCAGATCTGTAAAAAGGATGCACATGCAACACTCAGGTTCTGGAACAAGACTGAAGTCCAGAAGTGGATGAACAACCAGAACTTTCTGCCAGAGTTTACAGCTGGTAAACAAGAAGAAGAGAAGAAAAATCATCAGACCTGAATATTCTCATTGACGTGCGAGAATTGTGTGGTGCTGTAGCTTTCAGGTTCGGCTGTGACATCTTTCTGGTCTATCTATGCCTTTCAGGCTGGCACCTTCAACTTTAGCATGCTTTTCTTTCCAGGT